AGTATGAATATCAAAGTTGATCCTTGTACCTTTTTTATTCCTGCAATTTGTTTCTGTACATGTATATTTTTGCTTATGTTTGCATTTTTGCTTTTTGTCCTTTTTATTGTTGTCGCCTTCTAGATGACCGTAGCCTTTGAGCTGAATAGTCGTGGGACATATCGGCCCTTTGTTTATATAGGTTAAGTATGTCTCTTAGTTAAGATGTGGCCAAGGGCCGATAGGTGTTGTTCGAACATGGTCGAACTTAGCCTTTCATTAAGTCGTGGCCGAGGGCCAATAGGTATTTATTCGAGCTTGGTCGAGCTTAACCTTATGTTAAGTCATGGCTGAGGGCTGATAGGTGTTTGTTCGAGCCTTGTCAAACTTAACCTTTCGTTAAGTCACGACCGAGAGCCAGTAGGTGTTGTTCGAGCTTGGTCGAACTTAAACTTTCATCAGGTCACGGTCGAGGGCTGGTAGGTGTTGTTCGAGCTTGGTCAAACTTAGCCTTTCATTAATTTGTGGTCGAGGACTGGTAGGTGTTGTTCGATCTTGGTCGAACTTATCATTTCGTTAAGTTGTAGCCAAGGGCCAGTAGGTATTGTTCGAGCTTAACCTTTCATTAGAGCAGTTTCAATAAGTGTGAATTTCTATTACTTTGATGTCGTTACTCTGATTACATTGTTTTTCCCTCGGACAATTTTTGGAGAAAGTTACAAATTTTGGGTGTTGGCTGGTGTTCCTGTCCTAGTCCCTTCATTGTTCGACTTGGAGAATCTTGAGGAGTCGGGCAATGAAAAAGAAATCAGTATGTTCTCGTACACTCCGACTCGAAGTGTTCCACCCGTCGGCTCGTTAAAACTCTCCTTGAGAAAACCCTATTGAGACAAAACTCAAGTGAGGGAAAAAAGAGTACGACTTGGGGGGGACTTCTTGTTTTCTAGAAGTTGAAGTATTTGAGGTGGCTGATATTCCAATTGTTTGGTAGTTATTTTCCTTCCATTGTCTCTAGTTGGATGAACTCTTATTTTCTTTGCCTATAATTTTGTATGGCCCGTCCCATTTGGTTCCCTATTTGCCTTCTCGTGGATTCCTATTTGCTTGGGTTTTGGCTTTGAGTACGTAGTCCCCGATCTTGAGCGGTCAGACCTTTGCCTTTTTGTTGTAGTAACGTTCTGGCTGTTGTTTTTGGACGACCATCCGTATGTATGCCATATCTCTTCGTTCATCGACTTCATCGAGCTCTTATCTCCTACTCTCATCGTTGCTAGTGCCGCTTTCATGGGAGTACCTCAGGTTGGGTTCTCCGACCTCGACTGGTATAACTGCTTATGTTCCGGCCACAGTCCCTTGGCTTCTTCAAGTTTCTTCTTCATGATGTTTAATATGGGCTTATTGGAGGATTCTACATGGTCATTTCCTACTTGGTGATAAGGAGTTGAAAGTATCCTCTTAATGTGCCATTTCTCGAAGAATTCAGTAGTTTTCTTTCCCGTGAACTATGGCCCATTGTCGCAGCTTATCTCTTTGGGTAGACCAAATTGGCAGATGATGTTTTTCCATATGAAGGCGATTACCTCTTGTTCGCGCACTTGGGCGAATACTCTTTCTTTCACCCATTTAGAGAAATAGTCAATTAAAACTAAAATAAATCGTACATTACCTCGCCCTGGCGGGAGTGGATCCACGATGTCCATTCCCCACTTGATAAATAGCCATGGAGAGGTGACCGAATGAAGGTGTTCACGTGCTTGGTGGATTATTGGGGCGTATTTCTGACATTGCCTGCATTTATTCATGAATTCCGAGGCATCTTTCTTCATGGTGGGCCAGTAGTACTCGGCCCGTATGAGGCACCTGACGAGTGATCGATCACCGGAGTGAGCGTCAAAATGGCCTTCATAGACTTCCTCGAGAACGCATTGAGTTTGGTTTGGGCCTAAACAATTTGCCAAAAGACCGCCATACGTTCTCTTGTATAAGTCATTACGAAGGAGGTTGTATCTAGCCACTTGCATTCTTAGTTTTTTAGCTTCCTTTTTCGTCGTTTGGTAGGGTGCCATCTTGCAAGTACGTAATAATATGATTGCGCCATTCTTAAGTTAAACTTACAGATTTTACCTCGACTTAGTGTAGTGAGTAGTTGAGGAGATGGACTACGCTTTGGTCCCCGGCCGTGATGCTTTTGGTGGCAGTGGCCAATTTGGCGAGGCCATCTGCTTCGACGTTCTAAGTTCGAGGGATCTCGTCGAGCTGGCATTCGTCAAAATTGGGCAGCAACTTACAAATCTTGGCTTGATATTTTTGCAACCTTTGTTCTTTGATTTGGAAAGTCCCTCTGACTTGGTTGACTGTGAACTGGGAATCACAGCGGAGTCTTAACCGCTTTGTCCCATATTTGAGTGCTAGCCTCAACCCTGCAATTATGCTCTCATTGTTAGTCATATCCGGGCATCTTATGGACTGGCGAATTACTTCGTCGGTGGGGTCCTCGAGTACGAGTCCCAGTCCGGATCCGGAGGCATTGGATTTTCCATCGGTGTACAGGACCCAAAGGTCTTGTGTTTTAAAAGAAGCTTGAACAGCTTTTTTCTCAGCCTCAGGAATTACTTTCACGCTAAAGTCTGCAATGAAGTCGGCGAGCACTTGCGACTTTATTATTGTTTGAGGCTGATATGTGATGTCGTGCTCACTTAGCTCGATGGTCCATTTGGATAGCCTCCCCGACAGCTCGGGTTGATGCAAAATGCTTCTTAGAGGGATAGTGGTAACGACTGAGATAGGGGCACTAGAAATAGGGTCTAAGCTTTCGTGAAGCTACGACCAATTGCATGGCCAATTTCTCGAGGTGTGGGTACCTCGTCTTGGCGTCGACAAGTGTTTTACTGATATAATAAATAGGAGATTGTGTACCTTTGTTTTATTGAATCAGGGCCTCACTTACTCCTACTTCGGAGACGGCGGGATAGACGAGGAGGTGTTCCCCGGGTACAAGCTTCGAGAGTAAAAGTGGCGATGACAAATATGCTTTCAGTTCTCGCAATGCTTGCATGCACTCGGGCATCCACTCGAGGTCGTTATTCTTTTTGAGTATGTCAAAAAATCTATGGCATATATCGGACGACCGCAAGATAAATCTCGATCGGGCGGCGATCTGACCAGTCCACCTTTTGACTTGCTTCTTAGTAGTAAATTGCTCAGGTGTCCCGTCGATAGCCTTGATTTGATCTGGGTTGACTTAATCTTTGGCGGCCACTTCACCTTCGTTCCAAGCTTCTCAAGGGTGTAGACCACCTCTGTAGGTGAAACACAAAAATTGTGAGCAGATAACAAAGGGGGCATACCTCTCTCGTTCATGTGAGTCTCCGTCCTCGGCCTAGACGGGCCATCATCATAGCAAAAGGAGGGAAGGGCGGGTGCCCTGACATAAGTCTGGTATTGTTCCCTGTTTGCCTACGAGATTGGATGATCCCTCCTCATGTTTTCTCTTCGTTCTTTCCTGGGCTCGGTTTGTACCAAGATGAGTCGTCGGGTTGGTCCATTGAGGTCGTCATCATCTGCTCGGACCTCTGCACAGTAGGCATTATGGATTTCATCCCAAGTGATTGTAGGATACTTCATCAATCGGCTCAATAGCTTTCTGGTCGCTCTTGAACCCTCCCTACTCAACCCATTCTGAAAAGGCTGGGACTGTCATCCCCTCAGACACATTTGGTAAGGTCATCCTTACCCTGTTGAATCGGGTGAGGAAATCCCTTTGTCTCTCTCATAGGGATTTCTTGATGGCAAAGATGTCGTTTACTCTTGTTTCGGCTTTGTTGGCCCCGACGTGATACGTTCTACCTTGTGGAGCTTTAATTATGTGAAAAAATCATTCTCGAATGATATAAGAAGGATTTGCATTTATGGTGGAAATTTTGTTTCCTATACTATTAAATATCTATTTTCGAATGCAAGAAGGTTTTAAAATCACATAATTTACGATTAATTAATTCAACATTTCCTTTTTTAGACTCACTTTTCCAATCAAAAAATATAACCAATATTTCCCTACATGAACTAAACTATGTACCAACACACAAAGACTATCAGCAAGAACATGTAAAATCTAAAGATATGCATAATCAAAATTCAAAGCAGCAAAAGGTCAAAACAAATAAAAACGGCCAGTACGTAGAAAATGTTTATCTCTTTAGAACAGAAGTATACAGATAATTATACATTGTCTCTCTGTCGCTTCAACTTTCTTCAGTTAATTAGCTGAAGAGGCTGCTGTTTCAAAGGATTGTTTCCTTACAAGAAGGCATGTGATTTTTGAGGGCTGAGCATGTGTATTATCAACTGTACACAACACGAAATCCGGTCGATGCAATGCTAAAGCGAACCTTTCTTTTCCTGCATCCAAACCAGAAGCATCTAACAGAACATGCCATGAATTTCTATGAGCTTCTGATATCCAATGCATCGAGTAACGTGTTTCTTCCACGTAAGCAGGATATGCAAATAGCCCTTTTGGACTATGCTTAGATTTTCTCCTAAAATATTGGCTAAGTTGTGATCCTTTAATCCTCAAATCCAGCCATGTTTCTGGTGCTGCAATCACTTTTGAATCTTTAAAACTAACAAATTCCCTTATACAATCATAATCTTCACCAAGAATTGTCATGTAGTAATTTCCCCTGAAGAAAGGGTAACATTCTCCAATCATCATCATTGCTTCTTTTAGTGTAACTTTAAAAATAACTAAGTACTCCTCTTCACTTACTCCACATTGTTGCAAAGCTCGATTTCGGACTTGAATTTCTGGGATTGAAATGAAATTCCCTTGGTAAGAAGTTTTCTTGGTGAGAATATCAAGCAATCTTGATGGTTCCAATAGGATTTTTCCCAACTCTGAATTACTACTTCCAAAAGAAGGCGACGACGACTCTCTCCTTAGGGATTTTCCTTTCCCATTAGCGGATGATTCATCGGTCAGACAAAGCGTATAAAGATCAACTTTGTCTCCTTCTGNTTGGGGATTTTTCTTTCCCATTAGCGGATGATTCATCGGTCAGACAAAGCGTATAAAGATCAATTTTGTCTCCTTCTTCCACAAGTCCATTGCAATATTCAGGGTACTTGGCCAAAACATACTGTTGAACATATTGCATTTCACTTGGTGTTATTGGCCCTGACCATCTTAAATCAAGGCCATGGAGTGTTGATATAGCTTCTGCCACCAAATGGGCTGGAATTACAGTATTTGCTTTCTGTTCTTTTGTCAACAAATCTTAATCAAAACATACTCTTTTAAGCTCATAACATGAAATAACTCATGACAGAAAATATTTTTCAAAAAAGAAAAGTTATTATTATGGTGTTGTTTTTTTCCAGAAAATACTTTTCAGGGAAAAGTCTTCCACCAAAAGGGGGAAAATGATGACCTCCCTCACATTTTGGCGGAAGTCATTTTCCTTCAAAATTATTTAAAATTTTAACTTTATATTATTGCTTTAACCAAACTCCTAGACATTATTATCAATCATCAATACTCAACAATTTTATCAAAACACCGTTCATTTTGCTAATATTATTATAAATTTTAATAAATGTTTTTTCGGTACTTATTTTCATAATCTCCAACCAACCATCAGAAAACACTTTGTGAGAACTAAATGTGAAAGAAGATAGGAAACCAGAGGAACAATAAGTTTTTAGCAATGTTTGCATTGAATTTTGCAACTAATTAGTTTCATGTCCTTTCAATTTCATCAACCATACCAACCCAATTATCATAAAAATAAGACTAAATTTTATGGATAATCATTCAACTTTGAGTTTATTACGCAAAAGTCACTTTTCTTCTTTTTGTTACGTAATAATCATTCAACTTTGTGTTCATTACCCAAAAGTCATTTTTCTTTCTTTTGTTTCACAAAAATTATTTTACTTTACTCTATTTATCACAAAAAATACCTTGGCCAGATTTTATAATACTTTTACTTGAAAAGTCTATTATGTCCTTGACATTAATCCTCTCATTTATGCAATACCTTCTAAATTATATACTATATAATATATTTTTACCTAGGTATTTTACTTATAATTAAAATAACTTTAAATTATTTTATTTATTATTTTTATAATATATTCATACATTTAATTATTTTTCATGGAACTCAATTTGTTTAATCATATTCAAACATGAACATATTTTAAATATAAAAATGATAAAAAAATATTTATTTTTTAATATTTATTTAAAATAATTAAAATATATTTGTTTAACAAATGATATTTTTATAGTCAATAAAAATTTTAAAAAAAGTTTCAAATATATTTGTATTTAATATTAAGTTATTTAATGCTTTATCTGTTAATATTATTTATTTAAAATTATTAATCTGATGTGTTATTTTGTTATATATGGGTATTTTATTTATTAAATTAATGGATATGGCTTGGCTGATAAATCAATGAGCTTTGGTTTTTTTATTTTTATTAAACATATTTCGTTAATCATGATTAAGAACGTGGACTTGAGATTTGTTCACGGTAATGTTAATGACAATTTTAATAATGCTACTTATATATCTTGAAAATTAATATTAAGAAAAAATTAAATGTACGAATATATTACATAAATGAGAGGATTTATAATGTCAAGGGCATAATAGACTTTTCAGGTGAAAGGTTTGTAAAATTTTATCAAAGTGATTATTGTGATAACTAGAGCATAGTAAAATGATTTTTGTGTAACAAAGGAGAAAAAATGACTTTTGGGTAATAAACACACAGTTGAATGACTTTTACATAACAAAAGAAAGAAAAATACTTTTAGGTAATGAACAAAAAGTTGAATGACCGTCCATAAAATTTACTCTAAAAATAACATATAGATAGAGAGAAATTGAACTTGCCTTAACCACCATGCTATTTGGTCTGCTATTAATTGGTGATCTTGGTATAGGGGGTAACAAAGATTCTATAACCTCACCATCCTAAACAAGAAGAATTAAGAGGAAAAAAGCAAAATCAATCAATGAAGTTGAAGCTTTATTAATTGAAACTCATTAGACTGAAATCTTGGATTAATTAGTACAAGATCTTCATCACTCAGAAGATATAGAAGAGGTCATGCATACCTTGGAATCTTCGTTTAGGCTTAGCTGTTCTTCAACGTCTTTTCCCATATAGTGTCTGCACTTTGATTAAACTGAACAAGCAACTGTTTTAAGGCCAGGAACTGAAATCTGGAGATTTTGACAAAAATAAATGTGCAGAAGAATTGCTAATTGATTTGCACAATGATATGGCAAATAATTAAACGTTAAATATATATTTAACATTAAAAGGGGACACAAAGACGCCGACAATAATAAAAGTCAATTACTGATTCACTCTCTCTTTAGGTAACTAAGGTAATCTCATGCCCAAGGAGGCATCTTTAGAATAAAGTATAAACTAGAAAAGAAAAATATTTGAAGCTTGTGATTTTGCATATGATATTTCAATAAGAAGTTTATAATCAAATTATTTTAGTTATGTAAAAATATTCTATATTAATTTTTAGAATATATTAATAAAAAAATAATATCACATAAAATAAAACAAAATTACTATCTTTTTTTTTTCCTTTGTGCCCGATAGGACAATAAGTGATTAGTAGGTTACAATTGGAACCTTCAAGTTATGAGTCAGAATCTTAGTGATTTCTGATCCTGTTGACATTTTCTACTCTCTTTTAATCCATGGGAAAGTAAATGAGTATTTCCTTTTGTTTTCATTTTACCAAATTAAAGAATGCTCAGAGACAAACTTATCAAGATGTTGAAATGATCCTTTAGTAAGGTATTTAATTTGCATATAGTGACAACATAAAATTTTAATATGGTACGTAAATGTTTTTAAACATTTTATAAAAGGTTATCCTCACATATTTTGGATTATTAATTTTACTTAATATAGATAATTATATGTAATTATCTTTAGGTAATCTGATAGTGAATTTTTTTTCACTAGTAATATATCGAAGTTAAACTCAAAAACATATTTCCTAATAATTTTCAGTTTTCATAGCGTTTAAGAATGAGTGATACACTTACTAATAATGCTTCAAACACATAAACTACGATGAATCATTTGTTGGTATTCAATAATTAATCAAATTTGAAAACGGTCATAGAGCTTGATGTTTTTTGTTTCTTATAAGTATCAATCAAGCGGACACATAAACTAATCACAAGTTGATTAAAAGCAACACGGAATGCAACAACTCAATAAATTAATTTGTTACTAATAAAACATATATAGAGGTATCAATTGATCAAAAAAGTTATTGTTAGAGATAGCGACCGTTTAAGCATTTAAGATCGTCGGCTAGGTTTGAGGATTGTTTGGTCCTATTATGTGAGATCAGCTTGAATAGTTCATAACTAATTCACCAACAAATATTAAATAAACAATGGGAATATCATGTTGGTCTCATCTCCAACGTTACTTAATATTTGAAAGTAAAGAAAATTAATTTTTGGCAGCATACTATCTAGAATTTTCATATTTGACCCAAAATTCAACAGGACGAGGCATCTTTCATATGCTCCTATGGGTATTTTCATCGGAGAAAAAACCAATTGGCCAAGTATTCGACAAATAAAAAATCCACATGAGGATATTTTAAACTCTTTTCTTTTTTTCTTGTTCCTCCTTAAGTAAAAAGTTGGATTACCAAAATATCCTTCTTAAAATCGTAATTACCTTATTTATAGAAAATAAAAAATGTAAGAGTAATATTTTTTTTTAAAAAAAATAATAATTTATTTGAAATGTCATTTCTATAAAGTTGTGACTTTTTAATAAGTAACTAAATATCTTTTTTAAGTATATTCAACTGTGTAACGACTCGGCCGGTCGTTTTGAGTATTACAACCTTGTTTTCTCATTTACTGCTCAATTTATACTTTACAGTGTTATATGACTTGCCGGGGTAATTGGATCGGGTCCGGTGAAGTCTTGGAATGAATTGGAACATTTAGTTCCAAAGTTTAAATCTTAAGTTGAAAAGGTTGGCTGGATGTCGACATATGTGTAAACGACCCCGAAATAAAGTTTTGATGATTTCAATAGCTCCGTGTGGTGATTTTGGACTTAGGAGTGTGTCCGAAAAATTATTTGAAATCCCGTAGTTAAATTAGGCTTGAAATGGCGAAAATAGAAAGTTAAGTTTGGAAGTTTGACCAGGGAGTTGACTTTCGTCGGAATCCAGTTTTGAAAATTTGAATAGGTCTGTTATGTCATTTATGACTTGTGTGCAAAATTTGAGGTCAATCGGACTTGATTTTATAGGTTTCGGCATTGAATGTAGAAGTTGGAATTTCTTAGTTTCATTACGTTTGAATTGGAGTATGATTCGTGTTTTTAGCATTGTTTGATGTGATTTGAGGTTTCGACTAAGTTCGTATGATATTTTGGGACATATTGGTATATTTGGTTGAGGTCCCGGGGGCCTGGAGTGAGTTTCGGATGGTTAACGGATTGAATTTTGGACTTTGAACTTTGCTGGAATTTTTCCGATGCACTGTCTCGTTTCCTTCTACGCGATCGCGTGAGAAGGTTCGCGATCGCGTAAGCTTAGCTGGACGGTGGAGAAATTTGCTCTTCGCGATCGCATGAAGAGGGCTGCGATCGCGTAGTTCTGGGATTTCCTGATTCGCGAATGCGTGGCTAAGGTCGCGTTCGCATAGAGGAAATGGAGCAGAAGTGGAGGTCACGCGTTTGTGCTTCGCGATCGCGTGGACGAGTCCACGATCGCGTAGGTCTGTGAAGTTGAGCTTCGCGATCGCGTGGACATGTCCGCGATCGCGTAAGGTTAAAATTTGTCAAGGAAAACTGTGCTTCGCGATCACGTGAGATTTACCGCGATCGCGTAGAGCAAATGACTGGGCAGAGAGTTTAAGTTCTAAAAATGGGACATTTTTAACGATTTGGAGCTCGGGGAAAGGCGATTTTTGGGAGATTTTCAAGAAAACCCTCTTAGTTTAATTTGAAGATTTGAGGGTCAAGATTGTGTCAAAATTTGATAAAATTAGTATGGTTGGACTCGTGGTTGAATGTGCGTTCATATTTTGTACCTTTTGTCGAGTTCCGATACGTGGGCCCCACGGGCGATTTTTGAGTTAAATTTTGGATTTTATTGGAAAATTAGTATTTTCATATGGAATTAATTCCAATAATTTGTATTGACTTAAACGAATTACTTGTGACCAGATTCGAGGCGTTTGGAGGCCGATTTGTGAGGCAAGGGTATAGCGGAGTAAAGAATTACATGGTTTGAGGTAAGTAACATTTTTAAACATAGTTCTGAGGGTATGAATCCCCGAATTTTGTGTTCTATCAATTATTGGAGGTGACGCACTTGCTAGGTGACGAGTGTATGGGCGTACACCATAGAAATGGTGACTTAAATAAATTCTGTGGAGTTGTAAAATTAAAGAATCAAGTCATTATTCGCATATCCTCTACGTGCTAGAGAAATTGAGCTGAGACTCGTATTAAAGATCATGGTTAGGCTACGTGCCGATACTTTGGGACCCATAGGGTCATGTTGCTGTTGAATTATTCATTTAAATTGTAATTTTGTACTCAGTCACATCTATCATTTGCATATCATATCTCACTCTCTGTTGTCATTCATTGATACATCATATCATCATGTCGGGTTGATTTTCATGTCATTGAGAGCCCGAGAGACTGGAAAGTTTAAGTGATATTTATGGGATCGGGCTACACGCCGCATCATGCCTTATTTATTTATGCCTGGATCTGGCTATTATAGCGCTTGGGCTGAAGGAGCCCCTCCGAAGTCTGCACCTCCCATAGTGAGCGCGGTTGATTTACATTGAGGGACTGATCTTCCATGGGCATGGATCTTGCCCGAAGCATTTATATTGAGGAATAGGTCTTCCCTCTACATGGATCTTTTCCGAATTATTTATATTTGGAGATAGATCTTCCCCTGGGCTGGATTGAACTTATACAGTACTGAGTGACTGACTGTTAGTTGATGTATATATATATATATATATGGGATGGATCTTCCCTTGGCTGGATTGACCATATACAGTACTGAGTGATTGAGTATTCTGAGAGTATAAGTATACGAGGTTTCCATTGTGAAACATCACATACAACGTATACTTTGGCATGTAGATATAGAGATGTCATATTTCTCATATCATGCAGATTTTATCTATTTTTCCTGTACGGAGTTTAATTGTTGAACTGGAAAACATGCCTACATTTCTGTACTGTTATTTCTATACTAGACTGTACCTATTGATCTCGTCACTACTTTCAGCCCAGAGGTTAGTCTTGTTACTTATTGAGTTGGTTGTACTTATACTATACTCTACACCTCGTGTACAGATCCAGGTATTTTCGGATACGACGGTTTCCAGATTTAAGGATTTATCTGTTGGAGATTATCAAGGTAGCTGCTTGGCATCCGCAGACCTTGACTCTCTTTCCTTTTAGTTATTGTACTGTTCTATATTTTCAGACAGTGTTCTTATCAGTCAGACTTTGTTATTATTTAGGTGCTCATGTACTCAGTGACACCGGATTTTGAGAGTGTTTTGTTTCTGAAATTGTGAGGTTTTCTATTGAATTCAAATATTATATTTTCAAACTTAAGAGATTATTGTGATTTATTGAGGTTATCGGCTTGCCTAGTATTGAGATAGGCGCCATCACAACAGGTTAGTATTTTGGGTCGTGACAAGTTGGTATTAGAGCCTAGGTTACATAGGTCTCACGAGTCATGAGCAGGTTTAGTAGAATCTTGCGGATCGGTACGGAGACGTCTGTACTTATCTTCGAGAGGCTGCCGAACCCTTAGGAAAATATTTTACTTTCTTGTATTCTATCGTGCGAATTTGTTGATTCCGGAAAATAAATTTCTGTTATCCTATTCTCTCACAGATGGTGAGGACACGTACTACCGGATCAGACGGTCATCCACAGTGCCACCAGTTAGGGCCGCGAGAGGCCGGATCCGTGGTAGAGGTCGAGGTGTAGCTCATACAGCAGTTGGAGCAGCGCCTATAGCACCACCAATTACTCCAGCTCAGGAGCAGATTCCAGATATAGTTGAGCCGACAGGACCAGCTCAGGCACCAGCTGTGCCTATTGTGATTCCAGGCCTTTAGGAGGCTTTAGCACATATATTGACTGTTTGCACCAGCCTTGCTCAGGTGGTTTCGGCTCGGGTCGCACCTGTCACTTCTCAGGGCGGGGGAGGTACTCATACCCCTGTTGCCCGTAATCCAGAGCAGGTAGTACAGGGACTTCAGATACCGGGGCACTACCAGTCTAGCCGGTTGCAGCTGCTCAGGCTCCAGTAGATTTGGGAGGCTTCGACATCCATCATTTAGCGGTGCTGAGTCAGAGGATGCTCAGGATTTCTTGGAAAG